CCTATATCTCTGGGGATATGGGTGAAGCAAGAGTGATTCCTCTTCCCCTGGCTCTCCTATCTGTCCACCTTTACCAGAGTTCTGACCTTGAGAGTCACCTGTGATAGTAGAGATGATGGTTCTGTACTCTGCCCTAGAATCTTGTGGACTCTGGGCAAAACCAAGCTCCTCTCTTTTTTTTTTTTTTTTTCAGTACCGGGAATCAAACTCATGACCTCACACTTGCCAGGCAGGTGCTGTGTTGCTGAATTAAGTCCCCAGCCCCTGCAACCTCCTCTCTATCTGGGCTTCAGTATACCCCATTTAAAAAATGAAAACATTGAGCTACATAACCCTATTTCTTCTTGGTCCCTATTATTCTCATATTAAAGCCACAGAATGCTTCCTGAGAAGCCCAGACTAAGTTAGGAGACAGTTCCAAGAGGACACTTCAGCCCTTCAATTACTTCTCACCTCAAGGAGAATGGGCTCTGCTCTGGCCTCAGGCCAACCCTCTGACATGCGGCTTTGAGAAAGCCCACTGAAAGCACCTCCCACGCTGCCACTGGGCTGTAAGAGGTGGCCCTCAGCCCTGAGTTCCAGGGACCCAGCTGCTTGCTCAGCACCCCTTCCCCACCCCGAGCCCTAGGAAGATATAATGCTAGAGGATCATGAAATCAACACAAGATGCAGGGCTGGGCAGGGTCCTATTTTTGAACTCTGAGTTTCTAAAACTCATACCCCCTCCCACCTTGTGTTCCTAAGAGAGAAAAAAGCTCAGAGAAGCTGCCTCCAGGGTATCAGGATTTGAGAACTGAAAGAGACTTTATAAAAATTTTTCCCACTCATCACTTATGGCAAAATTAGAGTCTAGAAATGGAAATAGAATAGAAAGAATCTTCTTCCTGGGATGAACTTGTGACACTGAGGAGTAGAACCCACTCCTCGACTTCTATCCCAGGCCTCCATCCACTGAACCAGGACAGGGGGCTTTCTGAAAGAATCTGGATCCACGTGACTGATCCTTCTTCCCCAGGAAGGAGGCACAATGTTTACCCTTATGGCTCAACCCCTTTGCATCCTTATCTCCATGGCTTTACCCCCACAACCTGCCCATCTTCCCTCAGCTACGGCCTCACAGAGCCACGGCCCCGAGTCCTCTCCCTCACTCTTCTCCCCTACCCACACATCCCACTCTCCAGACCCAAAACCCTCGCCGTGGACTGATAAGTCCAGCACGCAGCACACCCCACACACACAGGGCTCGCCGCAGAGCACGTCAACCACCACTGTCTCCGTGGCAACCGGGGGCTTAATTAACAAGCTGCAGCCCTGTCACCATGGCAACTGCACCCCAACAGCACCCCATTTCCCTGCAGACTCAGCCCATTTTCCCTCTTTCCCAATCCGGACCCCTTCTCACTGCACCCGCCCCCACCCCCACCCCACCTGGAGAGCTGAGGCCTGCAGATCGCTCTGGTTCATTGAGAAGAGAGGAAAGGAGAGGAGGGGGATGAGAGAGAGACAGAGAGAGAGGCCTGTCACCATGGCAACTGCAGCCCCGTTCATAACCAGTTTGTTGCCATGGAGATTCCTAGGGCGCACCTTGGGCTGAGGTACTGGACAGTGAGGTTCTGAGTCCTGGCTTGAGGATGGAGCAACTAGAGAACTCCTTGGACAGAGGAGATCTCCAGATAAGATAGATACATACCAGCAGCAGCATCACCCTTCCCAATTTACATGAGGTTTGGTCTGGGTGAGGCAGACAGTTCTGCCCTTCTGTATCCTAAAAACCAGAAATTTTATGGCTAAAAGGACCCTCACATAGCTTCCTGTCAACTCATCAATGCTAAGTATGAGTAAACTGAGCCTACAAAGGGGAAGTAATGACCCAAGGCCACACCATAAAACCGGAGCTGAGCATGGACAGACTATATCGCAACCTTGCTCCATCCCCTGTCGTAGTTAGCTCCCTGTCCCCCAGTGGAGACCCATCCCAACTCCTTACCAGACCCAGGGCTCTGTCCAGGGTCCTTGGGCACAGTGGAGGTGGGTAAAACATGGGGGGCTAGCTCAGAGTTGTAACAACTGGTGCCAGGTCCAGTTCTATCCAGCCAGGTCGCCAGCATGACCCATGGTACAGGTGTGGGCTGTAGGTGAGGGTTAATGGTAGAGTTGAGGCTTAACTTCTGACTTGCTTCGTTCACCCTTTGTAGGTTGTGTTCCTAGGGATACCTGATCTGGCAGCAGGAAACACCCCAAGGGACAAACAGCACTCCCTTGGCACAGAGCAGAAGATCATGCTCTAACATATGTGCCCTAAAAATCTCCCCCCAACCCTTTCCAGTCTTACATAGGTCTCCTGCCTCCCTTTGGACCCCAGGAAAAGAGGTGGGGAGAACATCTTTTTGGGGTCTAAAGGCTGACACCAGAACAGCTGTGGAAAAGACACCACCAAACACTGAGTTACCCTGGGGATCCCCTGTCTAATTCCCCATGCAATGACCTTCAAGGAGGAGGTGCTTGAAGCTGTTTCAGGGCTTAAGAGGTTAAAAGTCACCTAACTCCTTCTTAAGATGGAATTCAAATGCATTCATGCCCCTGGGTGCCCACTCCACAGATAAACACAGAAATATACACACCAGCATGTCCATCAACAGAAACACAGTACAGTGACACACATAAGCTCTGACTCACTAAGCACCCCACAGGTCATCAGAGCTAGTGTGGGTTGTTCTCTCCTCCAGAATCACACACACACAGCCTCTGCCACCAGCACACAGCATTCTAGACTCACATCCATTTTGTATGCACACCTGCACACCCAAAATCTGGGGGCTGTGTATTACTCTGACTATGCAGAAGCGTGGCAGTGTAGATAGGAAAACTGAGTCATTACTCTGGGACACGGAGGAGGCCATCTTATTCCCAGGCCAGTGTTTAGGAAGTCGGAGGAGAGAAGGCAGGGGAGGAGAAGCAGGAACACAGAGCCATACACTTTTTCACCTGATGACCATTAAGAACTCACTAAATGAGCTGGGCATGGTGGCATATGCCTATAATCCCAGCACTCAGGAGGCTGAGACAGGAGGATTTCTGTGAGTTCAAGGCCACCTGGACTAAAAAGTGAGTTGAAGGCCAGCCTGAACTGCATAGCGTGACCCTATCTCAAAAAGACCACAAAAAAAAAAAAAACTCACTAAATGCCATGCCCTGGGCCTGGAGTCAGACATCAAGATAAAAGGATATGGCCCCTGTATTTGAGATCCTCCAGTGGAGAAGACGTAGGAGTAAGTAACTGCCATCCATCAGGACATGTGCTTCAGTGGGTGGGCCAAAGAGGAATGAACACCTCTGACGCACTGAGGGAAAGGGGAAAGGATTTTCAGAAGAGGTGAGATGAGCTACAACTTACAGGATGAGTAGGCGTTTTCCTGGTTTACAGAGGTGGGGAATGAACACAGATAAACAGACCAGGAGCAGTTAAGCAAAGAGTTCGAAAGGTAGACTAAAGGCTTGGCCTTTATCTACAGTGACAGCTTTTACCTGGAGTTGTGTGTGAGACGGTTAGAGCAAGACTACGAGCAGGGAGACCAGGGAGGAGGGTGTGCTTGTGGCTATCTGAGACATATCTTGGGCTCGGACCAGAATGATAGTGACAGAGGGGAACAGATGTAACTGGACTCAAACCCAGTTTTGGAGATCAGTGTCCAAGACAGGCCAATTGTATTCGGTGAGGAAAAAAAAAAGCAAGTATTGAGAATAGATCCGGATTTCTGATGTCTGAATCTGGACATCTGGCAAGGCCGTTGGTGAAAATGAGAAAAGAAGCAGACAAATTATGGGAAAGATGGAGAGTGGAAAAAGCTCGAAAAATTCGAAAGGTCACATCCAGGAGGCGGTAGGTTCATGGGGCTCGATCCTGGAAGAAGTCCAGGCTTCGATTTGATTTGTTCGTCTATACCATGAGGAGATTCGCCAAAGAAACCCCTAAGAACCACTCAAGGATTTTTGGCATTTAGGTTTGCTCTGGTATGAGTGAGCTCACCTGCGGCTCAGCAGCGACCCCTGGCGGCCCGGGGGGCTACTTCTCCTCCCCTCGCTGGGGCCACTCCAGGCTGCCGCCTCGCTGCTTCCAGACCCGAGGGGCACAAAGCTAGGGAGAGGACCTTTGACAAGTGTCCCCTGCGGGGGGGATCTCGTACACAATCAAGATGCCAGTACTTTACCGAAGGCCAGAAGGAACCTTCCATTTCTCTCTCCCCTATACCCTGCAGGTAACTTCCACTACAAGAGCACAGCACTCGACCCGCAAGGAAGACTCCCCTCATCCCCCAGGGCTGGCTCCCCTCACCCTTCGGGAGCTAGAACAGAGAAGGAGCTAAGTGAGACCCCAAGAATCAGACTGGAGTTCTCTTGGGATGCTCCCTGGCTTTAGGTGCCCAGGATCCAGACTAACTTTCCTGTTTCCAGTCTCCTTCTAGGGATCCCTAGGCGACCGCGGCGCCTGCAGGGAGGCTGAGGATTGCGGGATCGGCCAGACAGCGACGACCCGCTGACCCGGCACCTGGCTCAGCGACTCTGACTCAGGTTTCCTCCCGCCCCCGACCCCACCCCCGACCCTGACCCAGTCCCATCCTCCTGGCCCAATCCCTTCCCGCTGGTCCTTCTCTTTCCTGGCCCCCAAATCGACCTAGGCCCGCCTCTTCCCCTCGGCCCTGGTCCACCCCTTAACTACACAGCCTTCCCCTTCCCTCCGTCCGCGCCCCAGGGTCCCCCTGGTTGGTGCCCGGGACTACTCCCGGCCTCCCCCAGCCCCTCCATCGCTAGATCAGCGGGTCCTGGGCCTCTGGCCCAACCTCCCTCCCTGTGCCCCGCCCACCTCGAGCCTGGCCCCGCCCCTTCACGCTTCCAGAGCCGGAGCCCCGAGTCCTCCCTGGGGACCCCGCCCCCCGAGTGCAGGCCCCGCCCCTTCGCCCGTAGGCCCCGCCCTCCGCGGCCCCGCCCCCTGCGGCCTCTACCTTTGACGTCCTCCCCGGGGAGATAACGCGGGTCAGCGACAGAATGCCTGCGGGACTCGGGGTCAGGGGCTCCTGCGGGCGCCGCCGGGGGCAGCGAGGTGACGGTGAACCTGCGGCTCATGGCGCGGAGAGGGGCCAGAGGCGCGCTGCGGCCCCGGATCGCACAAGTGGCCGCTGCCGGGCTCCGGGCGGGAGGAACCGCGGATCCCCCCAGCCCGCCCGCCGCGCCGCACCGCGCAGGGTCCTAGTGCCCGCTGTGCCCAGCCGCCCTGGACGTGGCCACTTTGCTCCAGGCCCTGCGCTCTCAGTTCCACCCAAGTGCCCGAGAAGCCCACCCAGCTAAGAGTCGTCCTTCATGGGGGCCTAGTGTGTAGCTCCTGCAGACTGCGCCCACCTTTGCTGGTGGTTCTCAGTTGTTTCAGGCAGTGGCGACTGGGGACATAATGGTGAAAGGTATCGCCTGGTTTCTGGCCCTTATGATGTTTGAGTTGAGACCTCACTGATGAGAAGAGCCAGCTAGCCAAGAAACTGGGAGCGAGAGGGAACCTGAACTGTTCAAGAACCAACAAGACGGCCACTGTGTCTGGAACAGAGTGATGAGGACGAGAGTGGTAGAAGATAAAGGGGAGAAGGAGGCAGATCAAATGTTCTTTTGAAGTCTCTGGGGATTCTTTTCTCCTGTTTTTTTTTTTTTTTTGTTTTTTTTTTAATCCTCAAGGAAAACCATTGGAACAAGGGAATGATGTGATACGCTTTATATTTTAACAAGGTCACTCATTCTGGCTGTTGGGTGAGCATACAACTAAAGAAGAGCAGGTGTGGCACCTGGGGAGTCTAGTGAGGAGCCCCCTGGTGGGAGGGGATGACCAGAGTGGCGGCAGTCATGTGATTCCGGACAAGCTCCCAGCTGGACCCAGCAGGACTGCCACGGGGTTGGCTATGGCATCTGATGGAAGGAGAGGGGTACAAGAGAAATCCTGGTGGGAGTGTAGACAGGCAAAACTATTTTGAGTCATATTCACTAAAACTGGATATGCACATACATATCTTTTGATACAACAATTTTACTCCTAGGTATACACTCAAAAGCAGTGGCCTCCCAATGTGCACTAAAAGAAAACATTTATAAGTCTTCATAGTGGCTAGGGTTGTGGCTCCATGGTAGAACACTTGCCTAGCATGTTCGAGGTACTGGGTGCCATCCCCTGTGCCACATACACACACACACACACACACACACACACACACACACTCACAGATATGGCATACACCAAAATCCCAGCACCTGGAAAGCTGAGGCAGGAAGATCATGAATTCAAAGCCAACCTAGGCCACATGGTAAACTCAAGCCCATCCTGGACTGCATAGCAATACCCTGTCTCAAAAAAAAAATTCTTGCCAAGTGTGGTGGTGCACGCCTGTAATCCCAGCACTTGGGAAGCTGAAGCAGGAGGATCGTTGTGAGTTTGAGGCCAGCCTGGGCTACAAAGTGAGCTCAAGGCCAGCCTGAACTGCATAGCGAGACCTTGTCTCAAAAAGACAAAAAAATTCTTCATAATGATGTTATTCATAACAGCCCCAAATTGCAAACCACCCAAATATCTATGAATAATAAACTAGATAAACTGTAGTACATTCACACAATGGAACTCTACATGGTACTGAGAATAAACAATCCATAATTTCCAGAACAATATGGATGAGTCTCACAAATATAACATTGCACACAAAAAAACTAGACACAAAACAGTACTATATACCTTACAACACTATTTAAATAACATGGGCCCGGGATGTAGCTCAGCAGCTGAGCACTTGCCTGGCAAGCACAAGGTACCCACAGAAACAAATAAACAACACAAAAAATAGCCAGTCTATGTGAATTTTAGAAGTAGTGATAGTAGTGAGTTGGGGAGAAACAGTAATTGCAAGAGGCTTTAAAAGGTCTTCTGAGGTGCTGATAATGACTTGTTGCCAGTCTAGGTGCTAGTTACACAGTTGCATTGTTTGTGAAATATACAATGTTGTGGGACAGTGTACACTTGGAGGAGGTGCACTTGTCTACATGCCTATTATATTAAAGTAACATTTCTCCACTGGGGGGACCATGTTACCCATCAGGGGATATTTGGCAGTGTTCAGAAAGATTCTCAGTTATCCCAACTGGAGAGGGTGTGATCCTGACACTCTAAGAGACAGAGGCAAGAGATTGAAAGTCCAAGCCCAGCCTAGGCAACTTAGCGACTTAGTGAGACCCTATCGCAAAATAAAAACTAGAAAAGTGTCAGGGGTGTAACTCAGTGTAAAAGGCCTAGAATCCCCAATACCACCCCGCCCCCAAAAAAGCTATGGGGCTAGACAAGATCACAGGCAATGCGTGAACAGAAGGAAAGGGCACTTTATCATTTAGAGGGTGAGGACAATTCAAACCAGGTGTGATGGCACACGCCTATAATCCCAGCACTTAGGAGGCCGAGACAGGAGGACCTTTTCGAGTTCGAGACCAACCTGAGCTACAAAGTGAAGTCATGGCCAGCCTGAACTTCATAGTAAGACCCTGTCTCAAAAAGACAAAAAAAAAAAAAAAGACAATTCAACCAGTGCAATGGGAGGAGGACCAGTTGTCAAGGGGTCTCAGAGACCAAGCGAAGAAAGAATTTCGGGAGGATGGGCAGGTCAGTTCTGTCGAACATGTGGAGTGACAGTATAGGATGAGCAGAGTGGTTGTGGCATTGGCTGCAGGTCACAGGTGGTTTAGAGACAGTGGTTCCGGTGGCACAATGGGCTGAGAGGAAGGCTGGGTGGTTGAGGGGAGAACGGCAGGTGAGGAAATAGAGATGGTGCATAGAGACCACACATGGGGAAGTTTTACTGTGAATGCAGTGGGATTAGGAAAACGGAGTAGCATCTAGAGGGAGACAGAGGTTCAAAGGGATTTTATTTTTTTGTTTTGTTTTGTTTTTTCTTTTTGAGACAGGGTCTCACTCTTGAGTTCAGGCTGGCCTTGAGCTCACATTGTAGCCCAGGCTGGTCTCAAACTCACAATGATCTTCCTGCCTCAGCCTCCCAAGTGCTGGGATTACAGGTGTGCGCCACCACGCCTGACCTCAAAGGGATTTTAAAGAAACGTATTAAGGAATATTTGTATGCCTAGGGGAGGGGACCAAGAGATAGGAACACCCCAAGACCTTTTGAGGGGAAGTTCCCTTAACTCCTCTTTAAACTCCAAAAAAGATGATCTGAAAGTTCCAAAAGATGGTCAGACCCAAGCCCATCCCCTCTGCCAGCCCACCCATTTGCTCCCTGTCTTGTGCTGTCAAATCCGCACTCCTCCCTCCCTTGGAGTGCTCACCTGTCCTCGTCCAGTCCTCCTCTGCTACCTCGACCGCTCCAGAACCACCCTGCCCCCACTCTGATCCACCCACTACCGCCACATCCTTGAGTAGTTCTGAGCCTTTGCCCTTCTCCCAAGCACCCCTGCTTTTTCTCTTCTCCCAGCATCCGCATCAAGAGCCCAAGGCCACTGCTCACCAGCTGTGGGACACTGGGTGAGCTGTCATTCTCGGAGCCTTAGAGTCTCCTCTGTAGAGAGGGAGTTGGCGATAACGCCAGCAGGGGTATGGGCAAGGGAAGAGTAGTGCCTGCCCCCTTGGATGGTTTTAATTCACAGGATATGGTGCGGGGTCTGGGACGCAGTGCTATGCGCAGTAACTACTGTCATCTCATCTGTGCCCACATTTTACCCAGTGTCTTACTCTGGGGAGCCAAGCTGCTCCCAGTGTCTTATCATGCAAAAAATGTTGTAATCAGTATCTCCTATACGTCATTTCATGCACACTTGCGTGAGCGGTGAGTGGTTCCTTTGGGGAGATTGTCTCATTTGCACAGGAAGCCACTCTTGCTCATCCTTCCTTGGTCAGTTCCAGTTGAGGGTTCATTTTGCCTGGGAAATGCACTCTAACTTCCACCACAATGCACAGAATCACACACACACACACACACACACACACACACACACACACGCGCGCGCGCCATTATCAACAGTAAAGGGGCCAGGCATGGTGGCACACTCAGGAGGCTGAGGCAGGAGGATCTTTACAAATTCGAGACCAGCCTGGGCTACAAAGTGAGCTCAAGGCCAGCCTGAACTGCATAGCGAGATCCTCTCTCAAAAAGACAAAAAAAAGGGGTAAGGATATAGCCCAGCAGTACCAGCGCCTGACCTGCAAGTGCAAGGTCCTGAGTTCAATCCCTGGTACCAAAAAAAAAAAAAAAAAAAAAAAAAAAACAGTTAAGGAATACCTGTTTTTAACTCAAGTGTGATTCCACACCCAGGAGCCATGGGATGACCCTTGTAACTGGGTTGGTCTCTCCAGGGGCAGAGCCTGGAGGCTGGTTTTAGCAGGACACTGTTATACACTGTAAAGTCTGGGGACTAGTGAGAAGTCCTGAAGGGCAGGACCATAGTCCAGTTCATTGTTATCCCCACTGCCCAGCACACAGCCTGGCTCTGTGTAGAGGCTCAATCAACGGTTGAGGGCTGGGGATGCGGCTCAGTGGCACAGCGCCTGCCTAGCAAGCGCACAGTCCTGAGTTCAATTCTCGGTACCAAAAAAGAAAAATCAACCGATGGATAAATACATTTCTTGGTCATTTCTTCATCTGTGAAACAGAAATAATCACATAATACCTTCCTAATAGGAAGGGCTGAATATGCTACTATTTACAAAGAGCCCAAAATATTGGCTGACATATAAAATGCTCTGCCGGTTACATACACACATCTGCACACGCACACCTAAGTAAAAGCTACTTTTACAAGTTAGAGAATCCAAGTTTATTAGAAACATTCTGTCAAAAAAAAAAAAAGAAGGTGTGAAGAGAGGGCCCAGCCCATCTCCACCCCTCCCCACCCTCCCGAAGAGACCACCAGTTTGTATCCGGCAAACGGGCTCCTTCTCCGCTGGGACGGTTCCCCAGGGAACCTGCCTTGCACTGCTGAAGCAGGACGAAAGCCCTAGGTAGGGCACTGCAGGATGTTGTGGGTCACGTAGCCCACTTCGTCCACCTGATTCACTTCATCCCGGAAACTCACTCTCCAGTAGAAGCGGTCCTGGCAGAAGTAGGCTTTCTCTGCAGGGGATAAGCAGGCATGAGAAGGGTGATTCCTACCCTCCCACGTACATCTACAGGGACACGAGCAAGATTTTTACAATCACCCCTCCTGGCTTTTCTGGGTCTTTCCAAGGTTTTTCACCTGACCCTCCATCTCCCCCACCTGCCTGTGAGATGCTAGAGGGCACAGAACCTGGCACACAGTAGGTGCTGTGTATACATTTTATGAATGAATCAGCACATAAATGAATGAATGGCCTATCTTAATGCTCAGAACAATTCATTCAATATTCATTCATTGAGCAAATCTATGTATTCATTCAAAAAATTTTACTGGGAGTGTAGCTCAGAGGTAGAGTGTTTTTCCCTAACATGCACAAGGGCCTGGGTTTGATCTCCAGAAAACCACAAAAACAAATTCCTGAGTGCCTACTATGTGTGGAGCACATGAGAGGCACAGAAATATAGCGGAGAAAAATACAGGCATGATCTCAATTCTTTTGATGCTAAAACGCTCGTGAGGCAAGAGAGACAATTAACCGAGCAAACATGAAAATAAATGGGATTGATTCAGACAGCGGTGGAGGAAATACAAACAAGTGAATAGAAAATGGTGGTCAGAAAAGACCTTTCTGAAATGGTGGCCTTAGCACTGGGACATGACGAAGGGAGAGAGGCAGCCTGGCGACAATTTAGGGAAAAAGCCTTCCAGATAGCGGAACAACTGGCCAAAGGCCCTAAGCTATGAATGACCTTGATCTGCTCCAAGAGCAGGCAGTGTAGGTGGAGCATAGTGAGTGACAGGACAGGCTGGAGCAGATGAGAATACAGAGGTAAAGAAGGGGAAGGGGAGCAGGGCATGATGGCACACGCCTGTAATCCCAGCACTCAGGAGGCTGAGGCAGGAGTATCGCTACGTGTTTGAGGCCAACCTGGGCTACACAGTGAGTTCAAGGCCAGCCTGAACTACACAGTGAGATCTTGTCACAAACATACAAAAAAAAAGAGGAGGAGAGGAAGGGGAGATCGGATTGTATTAGTTTCTTTGACCTTGGAATGGATTTGGAGTCACTCCCAAGACCCAGCCCCTGCAGTCCTGCTTCTAACCTCTCAGGGAATACATTAAAGGTATCGGAAAAACAAAAAACAATTAAAAAAAAAAAAAAAGAAGAAGAAGGGGGTTGAGGATTTAGCTCAGGGGCACAGCCCCTGCCTGGCAAGTGTGAGGTCGTGAGTTTGATTCCCGGTACTGGGAAAAAAACAAAAAACAATAATAAATAAATAAATAAATAAAGGTATTAGTGGGCATGGTGGCACACAGCTATAATCTCAGCATTCTGGGAGGCTGAGGTAGGATCACAACTTCAAGCCCAGCCTGGGCGACTAGACCTAACAAGATCTTCCTCTCTCAAATGATAATAATAATAGTAATAGTAATAATAATAATAAACAAAAGGGTGGGGGTGTAGTTCTGTGTGAAAGCCCTGGGTTCAACCCCAGTACCACAAAAAATAAAATAAAATAAAACATAAAGTCGAGCTTGGTGGCACACATCGAGGAGGGCAAGTTCAAGCCCAGCCTGGGCAGCTTTGAGACCCTGTCTCAGAAAACCATAAATAAAATAAAAGGGCTGGGAATCTAGTTCGGTGTGGCGGCCCTGGGTTCAATTCCCAGTACCGTAACCAAACAAACAAATGTATTGTACAGCCAGTACAGCGTGGACTGGGATGTTTGCAAGAGAGACGGTGACAAATCATAGGTTTTCGTGGTGGAGTCAACAGACCTGGTCAACTGACAGGAGGTAAGCAGTGAAACAAGGAAAGCAAGAATAGCTGTCATCGCCAGTTCACAGTTGGGGAAACTGAGGCTGCGAGTGTAGCAGGACTTGGCCAAAGAAACACACTATGCACTGGTTTATCCCTCACTGTATTCCCAGGGGCAGCACATTGCTCGGCCCTGTGCTTGATAAGGACTGTCTAACAAAGGATGAGCCTGTCGCAAACCACATGCCCTGTGGCATCCTCCAGCTGGGGAGGCAGGAAATCTGGGTCCCAGTCCTGGCTGTGCCCCTGAGTCCCTGTATGACCTGAGGAAGGTCTCTGTCTCTGTCGGTGCTGGGACGTTTGTCTCCATCTCCAAGGGCTCTTTCTCGTTTGCACGGAATCTGGCCAATCCGAGGCAAGGCAGCCTGGCGTGGGCGGTATCTCACAAAGAGACCCTCCCCCGCCCGCACCTGCAGCCCTCACCTCGGTATTGGAAGACGTTGTGCATGTTCAAGGGCACCCCTGAGAACATATGGTCCACCGGAGTGACGCTCTGGGAATCCACCCTCTGCGTCTTCACGTCAAACCTGCAGCAAGCGGCGAGCAGACAGGTGCTGAGCCCGCGGCGGGCGGGCGGCGCCCGGGCTCCCCCTGGCGGCGGCCGTGGTGGTTCTCACCTCCAGAAACGCTCGGTGCTGAAGAGCAGCGCCTTTCCGCCGCCGCGCGAGAGCACCCCGGTGACCTCGGTCACCTCCGAGCCCAGGCCCAGTTTTTCCAGACGCCTTGGGCCCAGCACCGACGCGCCTGTGTACACCCACACTTGGCGCCCTGCGGGGGAGAAAGGTCAAGGTCACGTCGATTTGGGGGCGCTGTGGAGCCTTTTGCTGGTCCCACGTGCTTCCAATCTCCGTGCCCAAGGAGCAGATTCACTGATCGTGCAAAAGGCGCTGAAATTCAGCCCCCATAAACGTGTTCAACTGCGTCCGCCAGGAGGGGGCGCGCTCTTCTAATGTCCTCCGAGCCTCCGGTTACCTTGCGTTGATCCTCCTGGCTGGTGGAGGATGAGCGGCTGTGAAGGGAGAGAGGCGGAAACTAACCCGCGAAGAAGAAAATCTTCTTGGAGAGCGGATCCTCAAAGGCAGAGTCCAGTCTGGCGGGCAGCGCGGGCCACGTGTCGGAAATAAGGAACGGGCCCTGCAGCCGACGCCTTCGGCCCTCAGAAAACCTCCAGTACCGCCTGGGAACCGGACAAAGGCAGGGCGCTGACCCTTCAGCGGAGGGCCAGTGGGCGGGGACGGAGGGACAGGCCCGGCCTCCTCCAACCCCTTCCCCCATCCACGCATCCCGGGGGCTCACCCATCTTTGAAGAAATGCAGATTGTTCCGGATCTCCGCGATGGCGTCAAAAATGTTCACCCTGCAGGGATCGCCCACTGGACCCAAAGACTCCGTAGGGGAGGGAGGGGGGCCCGCCGTGGGGGGACCTGTAGGGCCAGCCGAGGTGGGAGCTGTGGGGCCAGGTGCAGGAGGGCCTGTAGGGCCGGCTGTGGGGTAAACCGTGGGGGCTAGCGTGGGGCAGACGGTCGGGGGAGCGGTGGGCTGCGGTTCACGTGTGGTGCTGGTGGTTGGAGGTCTTGGTTCAGGTTCAGGGCCAGGACCTAGAAAGAAATCCTGGATGAGACACCTCTAGAGTGCAGCTCTCTGTTCCCCCAGATTTCCAGCGAGCCTTGTGCTGTGCACACTCTCCTCATTGAAGAGAAGTCATGAAGTCATTCCCCCAAACGTAGGTGGGTAGCTTCCCCCACACTTGGCATTTATTCAAGCTGTGTTTCTCCGTCCCTGGGCTGCTTCAGGCCCTGGGTCCAGCTCTGCAGACAGAAAATAGGCAGCACCTGCCCTCTTTCCAGGCCAGGGGGCGTGTCTTCTGAATGTCGCCATGACAAACTTAGCGCTGAGAGTTACAACGCCGCATGATTGGCTGGTTTGATCTTCAGCGAAACACTATGAATTAGATTTTCCTCCTCGCCTCATCTCTCTCTCTCTCTGTCCTGCTAGGGGTAGAACCCAGGTCTTCCACAACACACACCAGGCAAGCGTTCTACTGCCAAACCACGTGCTCAGCCCTCAGGATCTCCCTTCACGCCATGTACTAGGGATTGAACCCAAGGGCTTTGCACGGAGCTACAGCGCCAGTGTTTTTTTTTTTGTTGTTGTTTTTCAGAGACAGGGTCTCGCTAAGCTGTTATTTTTTTTTTTTTTCCCGGTACTGGGAATCAAACTCACGACCTCACGCTTGCCAGGTAGGCACTGTGCCGCTGAGCTAAATCCCCAGCCTTCACTAAGCTGTTAAACTGCCCAGGCTCTGTTTGGCCTTGCCAGCCCTCTGAGTCTAGGTTCTTCAGCACTGTCTCCGAGCACTGGCAGGTGACACCAGCACCCAGGTCCTGTCCCAGAGGGATGCTGAGGTCCCAACCCATTCTCTGGTCCTGTGGCTGAGCCACACCCCAACCTCTGCGCCTTCCATCCCTGTCCCACGACCTCACCATAGAGATGTTGGATGCCCTTCACATCATCCTCATGCAGTGGGGAGCCCTCGAGGAAACGGTACATGGGGTACATGAGCGCCTCTGGCACTGAGGAGTGATCTAAGCCCAGCGCGTGGCCAAACTCGTGGGCTGCCACAAGGAACAGGCTGTATCCTGGGGGAGAAGGAGAGCCTGAGATGAGAGCACCAGGGCAAGCCCTCCGCCCCGGATACGCCGTCACCATCACTGTGGGGACCACAGCCACAGCCCACGAGCCTCAGCACCCCGCCCACCTTGGTCTGGGCAGAAGCCCCACTTCTTGTCGGTGTCGAAGTTGGAGGTGGTGGCACACCACAGGCGCCCATCCCGGCGACCCTCAGTGGTACAGGACGAGTATTCCTTGCCCAAGAAGACAAAGGGGAAGACGCACAGCTCCCCGGCCGAGTTGCCGCCAATCACAGTCGCGTCGGCTGGGGAGACCCAGGGCCTTGGGTGAGCCGGGTGGGTGGGTACAATAAGGTTGGGCAGGGGACGGGGGCGGGGGGCGGCTGGAGTCCTGGTGGCCTATTTTTAAAGCCTAGGGGGCGCTGTGGTGCCGTCTAGACCCGAAAACTTGCTGCAGAGCCGGACGCCAGAAAGCATCGCGGTGCAGGTGCAGCATTGGAAACCAGGATGTGAGGATGGTGGGCGCAGGAGGAGCGGGGGGACCAAACGATGAGTGTGGGAGAGTCTGGTTGCGGGGACCAGTGCGGGGCAGGGCAGCGGGGCTGAAACTGCAGGCGGGGACCGGTACCTCGAGTGGGACAGAAGCCATAGAGCTTGTCCTGGTCGTAGTTGGCGGTGGTGGCGCACCAGCGGTAGCCGTCGGAGCGACCCTCGGTGGTGCAGGCGGAGTAGGAGCGGCCCTCGAAGATGAAGGGAAACACGCAGGGCTTGCCATCCCCGTTGCCGTGCTGGGTGTAGAGTCCTGGGGAGGCCACACCATTACTCCCCAGTGCCACCGGCTGTGGACCCCCGGACCGACTGCAGCCCATCCTTGCCGTCTTCCTCTCGCAGATAAGGAAACTAAGCCCCGAGTGACTTACAGGCCACACAGCAAGCACGAGGGGCAAAGGGGTTTAGAAACAAAGCCACACACACACACACACACACACACACACACACACACACACACCCCGGTGGTGGCACCCGTCCCGGCTTCTCGCCGCAACCCCACACTCACTCTCGCTGGGGCAGAACCCGAACTGGCGGTCGGTGTCGTAGTGGGCCGTGGTGCTGCACCAAGGCGTGTTGTCCGTGCGGCCGTCGGTGGTGCAGGCGGAGTAGGAGCGGCCGTTGAAGGTGAAGGGGAAGTGACAGGGTGCTCCGTTTGCGTTTCCATAGTAGGTCGGAACCACTGTGGGCAAAGGGGACCCGTGTCGGGGTGGCTGGCAGCGGGTGTGAGGGGGAAAGGGACGTGGAGAGGGAGGAGAGGGGCTCCGAGGTGGCTCAGGATCTCACCGACGCCTTTGCCCAAAGACCACAACTCGTCGTCGTCGAAGTGGGCGTCTCCTTGAATGCCGGGACCAGGGGGAAAGGCGTGGGCCAGGAGCCCGTCCTTCCCATCGAACGGATACCCGTCTCCGTGCTCTGCAAAAGCGCGTGGAGAGGAAAGGGCTCAGCTGGGCGCTGTTGCTGCCGCTCAAGCGCGCGGAGTCCCGCGGCTGGAGTCCCCCGCGCAGCCTCCAAGCCCCGCGCCGCGCCGGAGGGGGCGACAGCAGGGCGGGCGGCGGCCAGGCTGGAGACGGCAGGAGAGAGCTGGCGCGCTGCCCGCTCCGCGCTCTCCGCGCCCCTCCCTCCCACGCCCTCGTTCAGGAGTCTGGCTTTCCGGTGCTGACCCGCGACGCCAAACTGGATGACGATGTCTGCCTCGCGACCGTACACACGCGTGAAGGTGAGCGGTGTCACTGCGCTCCACGCCGCGAAGGCGCGCGCAAAGGCGTCGTCGATCACGTCGCGCGGCAAGTCTTCCGAGTAGTTTTGGATCCTGTCGGGCAAAAGCAAGGGGAACGAGGTCACAGTGGGAAACGGGCGGGGCGGCGGCGGCACTCCAGGTCTCAGAGCTGGCGGCAGACACAAAGCTCCCTGCGGACCGTGCTTTCGCCTATAAGGTGTAACCCCCACGCCCCATATGCGTTCTCAAATGGCCCCTGTAGGAGGACTTGGACTGCTACAACCACTTCCCCAAAGGGCAAACCGAGGCTCAGAGGTGGGGCGGTATATTAAGTAGTGAATCCCCGACCGCCCGAGGATATTTCATTCTCCCTGCGCGGGCGTGGCCAGCCGTCTCAGCCCCACGCCTCCCAGCGCAGCTGCTCACCAGTATGTGATGTTGTGATGGTGCCACCGGAGGTCGCCCTCGAAGGTCTGGAATTTGCCCACGTCTGGGACCCCGCAGCGTGGGGTGCGGATGGCCTTCAGCGTGGCGCTGTCCAGCTCACCCGTCTCGGGCAGGGACAGCCGCTTCTGAAGGCGCAGCAGGGCAGGCCCCAGCGTCTTGTTCCCACCGTGTATCTCAGCCACGTTAGTGTAACCATAGCGAAACAGGTATTCCTGTGGATGGAGGGCAGAGGTGTCCCAGAGCCCGGACGCCCTTTCTTGGTCCTCCTAGGCGCTCGGGGATGGTCAATGAGCCATTAACCCCGGAACGCCAGCGCTTCCTTCCCTCCTGCAGACACACCCTCAGACCCTTCCCACCCTGATGCCTCCAGCCCACGCCTAGCAGAGGACCCTTGAGTTTGCCCCTGCTCATTCCCAACCTGTGCCCACCCAGAACCTTCCAGTGCCCTCCCCCTCACTACTTCCCATTGTCCACCTAGGAAACCCATATTGCGCATCCTGGCCACCACTGCCCAGAGCCTCTGCAGAGCCCCAGTGCCTTACCCTGGACACCCCTGTTCCCCAGACATGCCCACCACTCCCCACAACCCGAAAGCATCTCTGAGGCCCCATGCCCTCTCAGGCATATGGACACCTTCCTGACCAGCCCTCCCCAGCTCTTGACTGTGGCCCTTCCCTACCTCTGCCAGCTGGGTGTCGGTGAGACTGGAGCTTTTCAAATCTCTGGGGAAGACCACCAGGGTAGGCTGGCGCCTTTGAGGGGCGGTAGAACACCAGCCGACCACCAGGAGCACCAGGACCAGGGGCTGCCAGGGACTCATGGTGAGGGTAGCAGTGTCTGGCTGCAGCGGCCCTTTCAGGGGCCTTAAGAAGGCACCAGCCCTGAATCAGTGACCCCGCCCCCCTCCCGCGGGTGCTGACTCAGGGCATGGGGGTGTGTGCGTGTGTGCGCGCATCGTTGGACAGCCACAGCATTAAAAGGCAAAGAAAGAGCTTACACCATCTCCTCCTCTCCCCGCTGCTCACAGTGACCACTGCCTAGCTGGGCAGGACCCCAGAGCCGCAGGAAACCACAGGTGCCCAGAGGAGGGGCTGGTTTTGCAAACTGCAGAGTTTGTAGAAGAGGGGGAAGGCTAGAGGACGCCCTCAGCCCTCCATCAGCAGGGCCCAAGTGGTCAGCTAAGAAAAGGCTGGAGGATTCCCTGAGGCCTCTTTCTAGCAAGTCCCTGAGATCCCCAGGCCCAACCTCATCCTTCTGCAACACCCTCTCCCTGGCCAGACCCCCACCACCACCCCTGCACACAGTCCAGCCTCATCCCCGCGCTCCCCCCCGGCAGCCTTCTTTGACTCAGCTTCCTCTCCCATCCATCTGGGGTGGAAGGAGTGGGCTCTTCGAGGCAGGAAGTGGGCAACTCCACCGGGGCAAGCCCCTGACTTGGCGCAGCAAAGGGAAGAACCTGCAGCATCTGTAAACCAGCAGAGGCGGCTCCACGCTCTTGCTTCAAGGCCTCCGGCAAATGTCCTCATCACTCTGGATTTGTTTCCTCAGCTGTAATAAATGGACCTTTTGTCCCTAAATTAATGTATGGGCAAAATGAGATCAAGCACACAAATTGCTTAGTGTAGTGTGTGTTGTAAGCCCCCAGTAGATGATGATGACTGCTTTTAATTACTGAGCCCAAGATGAGGATGGCCACCTGGAATCCCATGACTGGGGTCTGGGGCTCTAAGCTGCCATGTGACCTGGAGAAAGTGCCTTCTTTGGGAGCTCTGGATTTTTAAACTGCCCTTTCCCTCCTTCAGCCCTGCTCTGTCCAATGCGAGCTTCAGTGCCAATTATTACTTCAGCCAATAACCAGCAGCCTCCCTCCTTCCCTTCCAGCCAGCTTGCCCATGTGTGATGGGGCTGATACTTGCTTTCCTCAAGGCCTTATTTGGGAAGAGCAATAATAGCAGTTCAACCTGTACTTAAAGGGCCTACTATGCGCCAGGCACTTTGCACACCTTACCTAATAAATGCATCTGAGATGAAAATTATTTCCCTTTACAGGAAAATAGATGCTCTGAAGTGTCCCGAATAATGAACGTCTGCTCTGTAGTCACTCAGTCCTGAATTTCAATCCCAGCGCTGCCCGCCATTAAATGGTGAATGTTTAAATACACATTTTAAAAATGTATTACAGTAAAAGACACATGGCCATTAACCTCCCTCAAAATACCCGACATATTTCAAACACACTTATCTCATCATTCTTGCCTTGTTCTGAAGCAGTTCTGGAAGTACTCTTTCATGAATATTGTTAGTTGAGCCATCATGGCTGCCTTGATGTCCTGAACGGATTCAAAACATTTATATCAATTTTGGTCAAGGCGATATGTCCTCACCTACCTCATTGACAAGATCTGGCACCGTGTGACTTCTGGGTCTTCCCCAAAGTCAAAATGACAGTGAAAGGTAAATGTTTTGAACTGATTCAAAACATTAAAGCAGCCACAACAGCACAACTAAAGACCCAAAGAGAACTTCCAGAACTGTGTGGAAGTCTTGGTTGCTGTGGACTTTGGAAAGTAAATGGATTGATCCACTGATAAGATCATAATTTGATGGCATTATTTGGAGGTGATAAAAACAGGAGATGGGTCTAATTGAAGGTGGTCACAAGAGAGTAAGCTTGACGATGGTATCTAGTTCCCAGCCCCTTCCACGCTGGCTCTTTCCCTCTCTCTGCTTCCTGGCTGCCACGAGGTGAGCAGCTTTTGTCTATTGTGCCCTCCCACCATGATGTTTCTGCCTTGGCACCAGTCAACCATGGACTGAATACTCTGAAACTGTAAGCCAAAACACCTCTTTCCTCCTTCAGAAGTTGTTTTTCTTAAATGACCAATACAAGCACTGTGATAGACGTGGGTTTTTGGTGGTTTCTTTTTTTTTGTTTTTTGTTTTTTGTTTTTTTTTTTTTTGGTCTTTTTGAGACAGGGTCTTGCTGTGCAGTTCAGGCTGGGCTTGAGCTCACTTTGTAGCCCAGGCTGGTCTTGAACTTGCAATGATCCTCCTGCCTCAGCCTCCCGAGTGCTGGGATTACAAGTGTGCGCCACCACACCCGGCGTGATAAACTCTTTATAAGCCTCTCAGTTCATCTTCACCACCTGTGAGGTAGATCTGATGAGTAACCCTTCCCTTTTCAGAAGAAGAAACTGAGTCTCAGAGCAGTTAAGGAACTTGCTTCTGATCACATAGTGAGTCAATGCACAGAACTACAATTCAAGCCTCCCGCTGCCTAGTTTTTTTATCTTTATTATTATTTACAGGGATCTGAGAAGACGATCTATATGTGGAGGATAAAGGGGATGAGTTAGGGAAAAGAGTTGGACCCTTTTCCTCTGATCTTTTGCTACCCACCAAAGATAAGAGAGGAGGCTCAGACTTTTGGGGAATCATATACTAATATAGGAAACCGTACGGGACTATATTTCAGACTTGGGAGTATTGGGTCAAATAACGGTATGATTTTAGAGATGGAAACATCATACAAGATCCTGCAATCCAGGAGATCTTCATCTGCATGCTAAGCACATGCTGCACCATGGAGGTACACATCCAGCGCCCCCTGCCATTTTACAGATGAAGACATGGAGGCAGATGTGGGATTTAGGTGAATCTGTGAACTACACCCACCTTGCCCCCAATTGTACAGAATATGTCATACCTATGCATGCATGTCACATTCCTCAAACTTGACACTCTGGGTGCTTGAGGCTGAATCGCTTTTTTTTTTTTTTCTTTTGGGTTCTTTCCCAGTACCAGGAACCGAACTCATGACCTTGCGCTTGCCAGGCAGGCGCTGTGCCGCTGAGCTAACTCCCCAGCCCCTCGCCCTTTGTTTTGAGGAGCCATCCTACACATTGCGGGATATCTAGCAGCATCCTCAGCCGTTCGTCACACAAGGTGCCAGTAACACCTCCCCCTGCCAGTTGTGACAACCAGAAATGTTGCCAAACATTGCCAAATGTCCTCTGGGTGAGTGGGAGGGGAAAAAAACCACTGGTAATGTTGATTTTTCTTTGTAAAGGCTCCAAAACTTCCATTACATACTCAGAGATTGATGATGATCCTTAGACCTTCAGAGATTATTTACTCAACAAATCCTTGTTGAGTTTTCTGAGCCAGGCATTGTGCTAAGAATTGTGACGAGAGTAGGGACCAAGACAATCTCTGTCCCACTTGTACGTGGAGCTGAGTATCCAGGAGTAGAGAAAATGCATGGGTGACTGATTAAGCACTAGAGAGACAGACGCCACAAAATAAAGTGTCCTTATCTACTCCCTTTATCTCCATTTCGCAGCTGAGGAAACTGGGGCCCAGGGTGATCACAGAGCAAGACCGGGACAGTGTGTAGGTGCCGACATTCAAATCTCAGCTCTTCCACTGACTTGCTGCGGGCCTGAGCAATTGACATAACCCATCAGCACCTCAGTTTTCCCCCCTCTATAAAATACGGGTAATACTAGCGCTTTCTTCACGGGGATGTTGAAAGGATGGCGGGCTAACAGATGAACGGGCCTGGTGCACGGGAATAGTGTTTGCTGCTCCTGATGGTGATCACCTTGGCCCAGCTGGCTGTTCTGAGCACTGAAGAGCAGGGAGAGAGCACCCAGCCGGGACCCCCAGGGTTTAATTTCTGGAGCCCATCTAAGTAAGAACCCTCCTTTCTCCACCCTCCAGCTTCCTTCTTTACCCACCTTGCTTCCCAGCCCCCATCGGGGAACTTGGGGGAAGCTCGGCTTTCAACAGGGCAGTGGCAGGAAGTGGTTCTGTTTACCACATCCCCTTCCCCACTTCCCCAGCGCCCCTCCAGTGCCACAACAGAGCTTAGCCAAGGCCCGGGGAGAGGAGGCAGAGGTCAGGATACACCCCCAGCAGGCCCCCCAGTAAGCATGACCTCCTGGCCAGGACTCTGAACCCCTCGTGCAGGTAGGAGTTCCACCAGGATGAGGAGAGGGGGCTGACTCCAGAGCCCTGAGTCACCAGGGGATGACAAAGCCCTGCAGGCTGCTATTAATAACTCCAGGCTCTCAGACAGGCCAGGGGTCAGCCTCATGAGATGAGGAACCTCATCCTCTGTCCAGGATGGGGAACTCCAAGCCTGTTTCTCCCAAACCTGCCAGAGAGGGGAGGCCTGAGAGGCCCTGGCAGGATGTGGGGGAGACACTCCCACTGTCTGGGATGAAGCAGAAAGATGTGTACGCAGAAGACATTGCCTCGGGGGACAGCATCACTCAGTACGGGCCCCTCCCCCAGCTACAAACACCTGCCATCCGTAGCCGGAGGGGTGGTAATTCCCACAGTGACTCTTAGAGTCCCTAATGACACTAAGTCACGTCTCCTATGTATCTGTGTGGAACACCTTCAATAGAGAAGTCAGAGTTTGGAATTGAACAACTTGGGTTCACAGTTCAGCTTCTACCATTTACTGGCTATGTGACCTCAGGCAAATCAGTTTACCTCTCTGTGCCTCCACTTGCTCATCTGTAAAATGGGGGGGGTATAGATGTGTGCCTCAGTGGTGTAGGGTTGTGCTTCGCATGCACAAACCCTTGGGTTCGATCCTGGTGCCAGGAAAAGACCCCCGAAAAATAAAATATGGAGCCGGGCGTGGTGGCGCACGCCTGTAATCCCAGCACTCGGGAGGCTGAGGCAGGAGGATCATTGCAAGTTCGAAGCCAGCCTGGACTACAAAGTGAGCTCAAGGCCAGCCTGAACTGCATAGGGAGACCCTGTCTCAAAAAGACCCAAAAAAATAACATAAAATAGGGAAAAGAAACAGTCCTCATTTCAAAGTGGGAACAGAGATTAT